AATCCAGCCTGTCCAGATGCCTCTGCAGAGCCCTCCTGCCCTCCAGCAGATCAACACTCCCACCCAACCTGGTGTTGTCTGCAAACTTGCTCTGCTCAGTAAAGTCAGCAGACACCAAGGGGAAAGTGCTCTCCGGGCCCTCTCCTATTACATGTCACTGGCACAGCTCCCATGCTCATTTACTCCCTCTGCTCGTGCTCTAGGCGTCTGATGAGGACTCTCCTCCAAACAACCAGATCACGTACAGCATCATGCAGGCGTCTGCCTTCCGCGACTACTTTGATATGGTGGTGTCAGAAGGATATGGAGGTAAGCGCTGGTCCCGGGACCACGGTGGCCCTGACGAGCAGCAGCATGGCTGTGACAAGCAGCAGCAGCTCGGGCTGCATTCACACCCCTGCAAGCAGTGGTGTCAGCAAGATTTAGGAAGCTGCTCCAGCAGCTCCTCTGCTTGTCCTGACCTCTCCTGGGATGCAGTCCCTTGCAGCAGGGCTTGAGCCGAACCGCTGCGGAGCCATGTTTCCGTGCATGTACAGCTCGCTCCAGGTTATGCCAGTGCAAGGAGCTCAGTAATGCCCAGCACTCGTGTTTTCAGGGCGTTGCCACCACAAACAGCCACTGTTGGCTGTGGGGAGGCAGCGTGGATGGGTGACCCCCCAAGCCTGCCCACCGTCCTGCTCCATGTCTGAATGCCCCCCTGACCGCCTCACTTTGCATCCTTTCAGTGATCAGCGTGAACCACCCCCTTGACTACGAGCAGGTGGCCAACGGGGTTATTTACCTGACTGTGATGGCCAAGGATGCTGGCAACCCACCGCTCAACAGCACCGTCCCCGTCACCATCGAGGTGTTTGTAAGTACGGCGCCTGACGATCCTGTCGCGGTTTCCCTGCAATTGCTCCATAGCGGTGCCGTTAATCCGGCCGTAACCCGGCAAGACTATCCCGCCCCGTGGATGTGTACATGTGGATTGCAATTACGTATGTCTCATATATGTATATATGTGTCATATACGTCTCATGTACATAGGTGTCATACATACTGGTAAAAGAAACGCTGTTCCTGACGTTTGGTAAGGTCTGAGTGACAGAGGGCGAGTGAGAGTGTTTCTGAGGGGGTGTCATGACGAACAAGCGCAGACGGGCTGTCCTGACCCCATGCACCTCCTCCCTCTCCTCGGCTGTGCACGATGCACCGGGAGGCCGCTGGAAGTAAAGTGGTAGGAGCCCCAGCTAACCACTGGGTGAGGAGCAGAGCTGGGGACAGGGTGGAGATCGACCCTCTGCCCTTGCTTTTGACTGGGGAGGTTCACTGAGCACCCGCTGAGCCCTTCTCTCAGCTTGCAGCGACCTCCTGGCTGGGATGCTCCCCATGCCGGTAGCCAGAGGCGCTCGCCGCAGCTCGAATGCAGAGGAGAGAGCTTTGACTGCACCTTAGCACCCGTAGTGTCAGAAATTATCAGTCCCTGAATCAATCATGGGCACTTGTTGTTTATCTCCCCGGTGCCGACTGTCCCGGCCAGGCTGCGGGCTTCGCTGTGCATCTCACGTGCCGGCACCAGTGCGAACCCCCTCGAGGAGGGGCTGCTGCTGGGGGAGGGAAAGCATCGTGGCGTTCCTCGGGTAGATTAGATCAGATTGTCACTTTGAGGTGCATTGTGGTTTGAGGACGTCCAGAGGGAGGTATCAGTGATGGAGACAGTTTGCTTGATAACCCATCAGTCTCACGGTGATGGGATCTAAGCCAGACTGGCGACAGCGTCAGTCTGGGAAGGCGAAGAAGACGAAGTCCACGGTGCCGTAGGACGTGAATGAAGTCACATCAGCATGCCTCTCCTCCAGCTCCCTCACTGTGCTCAGGAGAGGGGGAATAAGGCAGTGCGGGGGGGGTTAGCGGTGGTTAAATACATCCTTCCCATGCTGTGCTTTAGACAGCATAAACATCTCTTTCTAAAGAACATACTTCAGTAGGTCATCTCCTCCTGGTTGAGCCTGCACACTGGCGGGGTTTAAGTAGCTGTCACTTCTCCCACTCTCAAGCAAAGGGATTTTCTCTCAACTGGAAAAAAGAAAAGAAAAAAAAACGAGAAAATAAGAAGAAAATGAGGAGGAAGCATTTCACAACGGCAGTTGAGGAACAAGAGCCGTGAAAAGGCAGAACGAGAGTGAGTGTGGAGGGAGGTAATTTTTTTTATCCTTTGGTTGTTGGTTTTTAATAAAGAAGTCAAACTCGCCTTGTAGATTTCCCATTAGGGGACAATACGCTTTTGTAGAGGGAGCCGCCGAATCAGAACTAATAGCACGCCACGCCAGGAGCCGGGGAAATATCACCACTAATAAGTTTCTGCCTCGCTCCCTGCCGCTGACGCCCTGTTCGGGGCGATGAGCCAGCGACTTACACCGTGCCTGTGTCTGGAGAAGAGGGGGTTGTGTGCTTAGTGTGAGTGTTTGCAGTGGTCAGCATCTCTGAAGATGGTATGGTGGCTGTCCAAGGCTGAGGGTCGAGGGACTGTGGGAAGCTGGTTTTGTGGAAGTCGGTGAGGTGGGATCATAAGCGAGGTGGTTTAGCTGGATGCCCTCTCCTGTGGGAGCAGAGGAAGCGTGCCGGGTCCCATCTGGCGTCGCTGCCGAGTGTCACAGGAGGCGTGGCAGGAAGGCTTGCAGCGGGGAGCTTTGGAGTTCACGTTGCTGAAGTGGGCAATGTCCTTCTGAAGTAGAAAAGCCACGCACCGCGTTGCAGGCAGGTGCACGGCAGCTCCGGCCAGATGGAGAGCTGGCCAGGAGCGAGCCCCTGCCTCCTCGGGAGCCGGCTTACCAGGCCGTGGCGGTGCTGAGCACGGCCTGATGAACTCAGGACCGCTAACAAAGTGGCACGACGTCTGCTCTGGCTTGCTTCCACCCAGCCTGGGCAGCGGCAGAGCTCACCGGGATCTGGCTGCAGGTGGCACGTGGATGCGTGTTCAGTCTTACCGTTTCCTTCGCCTTTAACCTGCCTGGACCTCCTGGGCTTGCCCTGGGGCTATGACCCCAACCCAGCTCAGCGAGGAGGAGGAGGGAGATGTGGAGAGCACCCCAGGCAGAAGGCAACTTCATTATTACCCTCGGAGGAGATGCAGTGAAAGCTGAGTGATGCAAAGACTGATTAAAGACCACCTGCTTCCAGCAACGAGAGCAGAGGATGGCAATTTAATTGCAGTACGATGGGCGTCGTTGGCACGTGAAATTGCCTCAGATACCAAGTTCGGTGGCAGCAGGAGCAGCTGAGCCTGCAGGTCCATCAGTGGTCTCCAGGTAGAAAATGTCTCCAGCGCAGCCCCAAGGAAACAGCGAAGTTCGTAACGGTGTTTTAATGTCCTGGCAGCTCCGTCCTTCCCTCTGTAGGCGGTTGGGTTTGGTTCATTTAAGGCAGATTCTTAACATTGTTTAAACAGCACTTAAAGCCCCCCTGGGGGAGCTTTAAACTGGTCTGAAATCTGTTTTGAGGGATGTTTTGAGCAATTGCTCCTGCCTGGTTTCACCAGGCCGGCCGTAGTCACTGGCAGAGACAGGCTTGGAGGGAGCACATTGATATGCATACCAGCTTTCTCCCTAAAAATGCTGTAGCTGCTCTCTCTGCAAACACCCACAGCATTCCTCCGCTTAAACAAAGGTAGCGAAAGCTCAGCAGTTCCCCTGGCCAATCCAGTCTGCTTGGTGGCCTCATGGCCGGGGTGACCCAGAGCACTAAGCCACTTGTGTGCCTCTCTGAGAGGGAGGAGCGGGTCTGCGCACAATGGTGCTGAGCTTCGCGTGGCATTTGTGTCCTCCCAGGGCTTGCGGTGGAGGCAGGAGCAGCTCAGAGGATGCTTGGCTGCAAACGGCAGCGGTTCCTCAGACCTGTTGTGTATTGCCCGGGCTCCTGGATAACGAGATAGTCGGTATTGGCCCCACTGTATGGCTCAGCAAAGTCACTGACAATCGGCTTACCTTAACCTCAGCTGCCTCTGCAGTGAAACCCTGTGCTCAGACCTCTGGTGCCTTACTCCTAAGGCCATCTTCCCCATGCTGATGTCTTGAGCTGGTCACACCTTGAGATGCAGTTGGCCAGGAGCATCCCCGTTACCAGACTTTTGCAGCCACTTGACCATCTTGCCTTTTTCCCAACCAGCCTCTTGACCTTCTTTTTGCTTCAGGATGAAAATGACAACCCCCCCACGTTCAGCAAGCCCTCCTATGTTATAACCGTCATGGAAGACATTATGGCAGGTACGGAGCACGTCTCTGCTCCTTCTCCAGGCTAGCAGAAGGGTCCTGGGGATCTTACAGCCAGAACGGGGTGGGTGATGGCTTTTGGGGGAGATAAAAGCCAGGGACGTGGCAGAATTTCATAGCTGTGGGGTCTGAGGGTTTGGCCCCACTGTGCCTGCAGCCGAGGGGACCCCTTGGCCGGGTGACCTGCAGGAGTGGTGTGGGGGGACAGGGCAGCTGGGAAAGAGCTGCTTCAGGCTGCAAATGCCCAGCCCAGACCTCATTTCTGCCTCCCCCAAGGAGCCACAGTGCTGTTTCTCAATGCCACGGACATGGACCGGTCCAGGGAGTACGGGCAGGAGTCGATCATCTACTCCCTGGAGGGCTCCTCACATTTTCGGATCAATGCTCGCTCAGGTGAGCCTCTGTACATGCTGTCCCTCTTTTCCTTTCAGTTCCCTCTCCTGAATTTCCCATGGTTTTCTTCCCCATCGTTTTTCCTCTTCGCCCTCCCTCCTTCCCTCACCCTTCCCTCCTCTCCCCAGAGCAGCCTGCTCAGGGGACGCAACAATTTAAGGATTCACCTGATTTCAGCCCACCAGCACTTGCATGGTGACTGTGAGAGCTTTGGCAGAGACATCGGCGGAAGCTCAGCTCATGGTGGGAACACCTAAGAAAAGGCTTTGGCTGCAAGGGCTTACATTCGCTAAGGAGCTGCTGCCCGCCTGCCCTTGCTGGCATCGGTTTTGGCTCGTTACGGGCAGAAACGAGCGTGAGGGATCGCACGCAGTCGTTACACGGGCTCCCGTGGGAAGACACAGCACGAAGTTTGCAGGAGCTTGCTGACAAGCTGACCCTTCCAGGGTCCGTTATTTGAAACTGAATCAGAAGAAAGGGCCCATTTGTGGAGGATCCTGCCTCTGGTTTTGAGTGTCCCTTTTTTTCACCAGTGCCCCTATTTGCCATACCTCATCTCTAACTGCAGGAGAAATCACGACAACGTCTTTGCTGGACCGGGAGGCCAAATCCGAATACATCCTCATTGTCCGGGCAGTGGATGGAGGTGTGGGCCACCATCAGAAGACAGGCATTGCTATGGTGAGTGTCTGAAGGAGAATCTCCTTGAGCCACCAGTGCCTGCCTTGGGGCTGGTGTTGGGGAGGGCTGCCCAGGCACCGATGCTTCAGTTCCCCATGCTAGCAGCATTTCGTTTTAGCTGTGTGAATGAGTAAAGAGCATACAGTGGTGTCTACCCTCTTGGGCTGCCCCCACCGCTACTCGTAGCCCTTGCAGAATGACTGTCCGGGCTGTGTAGACTTTGAAATCGGGCTCCCTTTCCTGGCAAGCCATTCACCCAGGAGCAGCTTGACCTTCCAGCACTTTACGAGTCCAGCTCTCCGTGCGAAGGCGGTAATGGATACCTGTTCCACCCGCAGCACGGCTCCCCTTTGTCCATGCCTCTTGAGAAAACGCTTAGTTGGAGAGCCTGCAGGCACACTTACTTGTTCCTGATGACCGCTATTCATGTACTGCGTGGATCAAGGGTTTCCAACCGGTTTGTGATTCATGGGCTGCTCAGAAGGTTCTGGTGGAGGTGCAGGCCATTGTACTGCAGATTGAAGCCTTCTGCTTTGCCTTGCCCTTTGCAGACGTCAGGGAGACCCATCTTTGTAAAAGTCTTTGGAAATACCGGGAGGTCAAAAGCCAAAGATCCATCTCTCGCTGGTCATCGCACCAGGTCGGTTTGAACATTTTGTAACGTTTGGGTGCTTCTACTCCTGGGACGCTTGACTGAGTTTCAGGAGAGATGTCCCATGCAACAGAGGATGATTCAGCGAAATATTGTGGTTGTGCTGAGGAGATCCCTAAAATAATTGTCACTGCTGCTGAGGGCCATCAAGATGTGTATGATCCAGGCAGTAAACTGGAAGCTTCCTATGGAGCCTCCCAGAAGCACATGACAGCCTTGGCCAGGCAATGGCATGGCCTGTCAGATGCTGGGTTCCCCTTTGTGGCTCCAGATGAGATGATGTTCTCCTAATAGCTTTACTGAACGGCAAACCAAGGTTTTTGCAACACAAATTGCAATTAGGAAAAAAAAAATGCATCACTGTTCCTAAAGAGGTAAAGAATATTAAAACTCAGTGGGAAGTGGGTGGCCAATTAAGTTTGTCTGCTGTCATTAGCAAGGATATACACCTGGGACTTAAAGCTATATGTTCCCTATAATAATTTTTCATCTGGAACCAAGGGTCCATTCAGGGGCTTTGCAAGGTCTCCAGGTGATGAACAAGCACCTGGGGTGCTCAGGATAGCAGTGGGTCACCAGCCTTCCCCCAGGGACTTCCCCAGTGCCTTGGCTTGTGTCCGGGGTCACATCCTTGGAGACCGTGGGGTCCAGATTTGCCTCTTCTACCACGGGATGGCACCAGCAGCTCAGCCTGGTGCAGCTGCAGCATTCGATTACTTGGGAGCACAGAAGACCTCAGGAGAAGCTCCACCGAGAGACCCTGCGTGGGGGGTGGCAGGCACCAGGAGCTCCCTCCTGCTCCTCTGCCCCCCTTTCCCTTGAACTGCAGGTCTTCCCTCAGGCACCTTTGTAGACTCACAGGCTGGATTGAAACTGGTGATCAGGAGAGGTGAGAGACTCACAGGCAACAGGATGCATCCCACAGCTCGCTACTGTCACTTACATGCCGTTTCTCACGCTGAAAACAAAGATAGGTAACACTTCAGGGCACCATCCTCTCTATGCTGTCTTGCCTTTGCACCTCCCATCTCCTGATACCGTACCCTCTCCCCATTTCTCATTTATTCCTTTTTTTCTTTTCTTTGGCTTTTTATCAGTCACTCAGTTTTTTCCTGCCTTTCCTGCCACGCTCCTGCTACGCCCTCTCCCCCGCCACCGTGACCGATTTGCATCCCCCTGCGGTGAAGTAGCTGCTCAGAAACACACCTCGTGCCCCCGCTGTTGTTTTAACTGCAAGGCAATGAGTACACATGAGCCAAACCGAGTTTAAATACATACCGAGGAGCCTTGGCTGTGCAGACGCAGGACGTTGTTTTGGTTGTTTTTCTAGGGGTTTTCCCTCCGGAGGGTGAACATGAGTTGGGTCCCTGGTGCTGCCCCAGGACCCAGTACCTCCTGATGCAGCGTTGCTTGCTTGCTCCCTCGCAGGTGAACATCACGCTGCTGGACATCAACGACAACTACCCCATGTGGAAGGATGAGCCATACTTCATTAACCTGGTGGAAATGACCCCCCCCAACTCAGACGTCACCACGGTACGTGCGAGGAAAGGTGGCTGTTGGGCTAAAAGCCTCCTCCTTTCACCCAGCGAGGTTGTCCCTGGAGCAGGGAGTCACCTCCGAACCGGTGTCACCTCTTAACTGGTGTCGCCTCCAGTCAAGCACCATCTTGCAGAAGTCCATTTAAAAAGTTGCTCCTGAGCCTCCTCGCTGATGCCTGTCCTGTGTGTTTCTCCTCTCTGCTGGGATGTATTTTTTTCTCCCCAAATTGTGTGGGTTTTGGCCAAATTCTCCTTTTTTTAGCCTCGCCTGCGACCTCCTTCAAGGACCTCTGAAAGACATTGATTTACAGCCTTTCAAGTCCCTCTGGTGAAATAAAAGAGAAGGAGAGAGGGAGGCTGGTACTCCATCACGCTGGGAGAAAAATGACGGGCACGAAACGGAAAATAAATGAGGGAAAAGTGAAGAGAATCCACAAAATCATATAAGGAGGAAAGCTGCAAAAGAAAAGGAA